GATGGCAGGGCACGAACATTCACATTATGGTAGGGCTCAAACATTCATATGATGGCAGGGCACAACAATTTACATAATGGCAGGGCACAAACATTCACATGATGGTAGGGCTCAAACATTCATATGATGGCAGGGCACAAACATTCACATGATGGTAGGGCTCAAACATTCATATGATGGCAGGGCACAAACATTTACATGATGGCAGGGCACAAACATTTACATGATGGCAGGGCACAAACATTTACATGATGGCAGGGCACAAACATTTACATGATGGCAGGAAACAAACATTTACATGATGGCAGGGCTCAAACATTTACAAGGCAGGGCTCAAACATTCACATGATGGCAGGGCACAAACATTCACATGATTGCAGGGCACAAACATTTACATGATGGCAGGGCACAAACATTTACATGATGGCATGGCTCAAACATTTACATGATGGCATGGCTCAAACATTTAAAAGGCAGGGCTCAAACATTCACATGATGGCAGGGCACAAACGTTTACATGATGGCAGGGCACACACATTCATATGATGGCAAGGCTTAAACATTCACATGATGGCAGGGCTCAAACATTTACATGATGACAGAGCACAAACATTTACATGATGGCAGGGCTCAAACATTCACATGATGGCAGGGCTCAAACATTTAAATGATGGCAGGGCTCAAACATTCACATGATGGCAGGGCTCAAACATTTACATGATGGCAGGGCTCAAACATTTAAATGATGGCAGGGCACAAACATTTACATGATGGCAGGGCACACACATTTACATGATGGCAGGGCTCAAACATTTACATGATGGCAGGGCACAAACATTTACAAGGCAGGGCTCAAACATTCACATGATGGCAGGGCGCAAACATTTAAATGATGGCAGGGCTCAAACATTCACATGATGGCAGGGCTCAAACATTTACATGATGGCAGGGCTCAAACATTTACATGATGGCAGGGCTCAAACATTTACAAGGCAGGGCTCAAACATTCACATGATGGCAGGGCGCAAACATTTAAATGATGGCAGGGCTCAAACATTCACATGATGGCAGGGCTCAAACATTTACATGATGGCAGGGCTCAAACATTTACATGATGGCAGGGTACACACATTTACATAATGGCAGGGCACAACCATTCACATGATGGCAGAGCACAAACATTTACATGATGGAAAGGCACAAACATTTACATGATGGCAGGGCACAAACATTTACATGATGGCATGGCTCAAACATTTACATGATGGCAGGGCACAAACACTTACATGATGGAAAAGCACAAACATTTACATGATGGTAGGGCTCAAACATTCACAAGGCAGGGCTCAAACATTCACATGATGGCAGGGCACAAACATTCACATGATTGAAGGGCACAAACATTTACATGATGGCAGGTCACAAACATTTACATGATGGCATGGCTCAAACATTTACATGATGGCATGGCTCAAACATTTAAAAGGCAGGGCTCAAACATTTATATGATGGCAGGGCACAAACATTTACATGATGGCAGGGCACAAACATTTACATGATGGCAGGGCACACACATTTACATGATGGCAGGGCTCAAACATTTACAAGGCAGGGCACAAACATTCACATGATGGCAGTGCTGAAACATTCAAATGATGGCAGGGCTCAAACATTCACATGATGGCAAGGCTCAAACATTTAAATGATGGCAGGGCTCAAACATTCACATGATGGCAGGGCTCAAACATTTACATGATGGCAGGGCTCAAACATTTACATGATGGCAGGGCACAAACATTTACATGATGGCAGGGCACACACATTCATATGATGGCAGGGCTCAAACATTCACATGATGGCAGGGCACAAACATTTACATGATGGAAAGGCACAAACATTTACATGATGGCAGGGCACAAACATTTACATGATGGCAGGGCACAAACATTCACATGATGGTAGGGCTCAAACATTCATATGATGGCAGGGCACAAAAATTTACATGATGGCAGGTCACAAACATTTACATGATGGTAGGGCACACACATTCATATGATGGCAAGGCTCAAACATTTACAAGGCAGGGCTCAAACATTTACAAGGCAGGGCTCAAACATTTACAAGGCAGGGCTCAAACATTCACATGATGGCAGGGCACAAACATTTACATAATGGCAGGGCACAAACATTCATATGGTGGCAGAGCTCAAACATACATGATGTCAGGGCACAAACATTTACATGATGGCAGGGCTCAAACATTTACATGATGGCAGGGCACACACATTTACATAATGGCAGGGCACAACAATTTACATGATGGCAGGGCACAAAAATTTACATGATGGTAGGGCTCAAACATTCATATGATGGCAGGGCACAAACATTCACATGATGGTAGGGCACAAACATTTACATGATGGTAGGGCTCAAACATTCATATGATGGCAGGGCACAACAATTTACATAATGGCAGGGCACAAACATTCACATGATGGTAGGGCTCAAACATTCATATGATGGCAGGGCACAAATATTCACATGATGGTAGGGCTCAAACATTCATATGATGGCAGGGCACACACATTCATATGATGGCAATGCACAAACATTTACAAGGCAGGGCTCAAACATTCACATGATGGCAGGGCTCAAACATTTACATGATGGCAGGGCACAAACATTTACATGATGGCAGGGCACAAACATTCACATGATGGTAGGGAACAAACATTTACATGATGGTAGGGCTCAAACATTCATATGATGGCAGGGCACAACAATTTACATAATGGCAGGGCACAAACATTCACATGATGGTAGGGCTCAAACATTCATATGATGGCAGGGCACACATATTCACATGATGGTAGGGCTCAAACATTCAT